CTTAACAGCTTGAAGACTCGATGGTTTCTAGATGGTTTCTTTTACTACTATGAGCAACTATGCTATTTCTGACGACAAGTTGTCAATTGAACATAATCGGATAAAACTATAATAAAATTCCATTTATTTGAACGAAATTTTACTGATGACGTCACATTGGCATCACGGCCTAGTTGGTCCGGAGGCAGATGGTGTTCACTGATGTGGGCACCATCAGTGGACACCACATCTATGTCACGTGCAAGTGATTTTCAAACAGCATTGGAAAGATTGACGAGTTTAAAAAAAAAAATTTCAGTCACGTAAAAATCATTCACATTGGCCCAACAATCAATGTATTAAGTAAATTCTTATTGGTTCAAATTATCTACTTCTCTGAATATGAATTCCTATTATATGAACGAAAAGTTATACAGAATAGTTATATATGGGAAGAATAATTGGTCTTCTATCATATAAATTTGGATTATAAATACAGAACGTTTTGTTTATCTCGGATTATTTAATATTTTAGTTAGTCTTATTGATGCAAAAAGTTATGGCAGATCAAAGTTGATTGGTTTAAAAGATATTGTAACTTAAATTTTATTAGACTTATTGTATGGAATACAAAGAAAGGCGCAAAACAGTATTTTATTGTATCCAAAAATTACAGTGTACAAATTACATATATGTATATTTATTTTCTGATAAGTTCATATAAACGGAATTTGGTGTAACTGCAAATCTGTACTAGATTTTTTGAATTGTTAAGCGTCAAGATATAGATATAAAGTAGGTAGGAAAGTTAAATCAATTCGATATAAAGAAAATATAAAAAGAAAAAAAACAATCAAAGTTTGTCTACCAGTTTAGCGTTCTTACAGATACACAAATGCACAAAATGCAGAAAATTGTATAAAATCTAAAATGTATCTGCTTGTATCTAAAATAGAGTTCTCGTTATGATTTTCAATAGATAAAACACATCTCCACTTAAGTCCTATTTTTTTAATTGTGTTCATAAAAATATAAATTTGCATAAACAGTAGTTTGTTGTATTTTACTGATAAAGCACAGAAATTTTTTAGTGATGAATAGTCATCGTATAAATATACGGAACTTTCCTGTTCCAGGCTATATGTTCCATATAAAATATTCATGTGTTGTTAAAAACGCTACTTTTAAAAAGCAGATTGCAAAGTTTTGTTAAAGCTCTTCTGCGAATTTTAACATATTTGCATAAAATTCTTGCACTAGCTAGTTGCCTGTCTTAAACGTGTGTGCCGTTCCAAAATGTCAAATTTAAAAGCTTGGCGTCAAGTCAAATCAATTAGGACTATATGTACCTAATACATAGACTGCGAATGTTTCTGCATTTATAGAAAAATAAAAGGGGAAAGATTTGTAGAATATACATTACAATATATGTAAAAATATATAAAATACTCCAATACTTGTTTTATAACAAGGTGGTGTATACATTTTTCTATTCTGATTCCATTAGTTTCCTCTAGTTATTAAAGGTATAAATTTGCAACAACTCCTGCAATCTACTAATACAATTTCCCGTATTAGATGTCAATTTTCTACACGAAGACACCACATTAGTGAATGTTTCCAGTGTAATAGGCCCACCCAGTCAAATCATCCACTCCGGTCAAATCTTTCAAAATAAAACGAAAACTTCCAATGTATGGAACAGTGCGTCGTGTCAAGCCAAATCTCCCAACATAAAACTCTATTCATGAAAGCTTACAATGTAACATTCTATCTAGTCCAATTAAACGTAAAAAATTAATAAAAGTTTACGGTGTAACACTCCTGTCCAATTATCAAATTATTCAACCCAATCAACTGTTTTCAAATAAAATTGAATTGAAATTCTCAGTGTAATAACAGTCCCATCGAGGCAAGTTTCCCAAAATAAACTTCAATTAATAAAAGTTTGCAGCGTAATAGCTCCATCCAACCCAGTAAAAACTTCGAAAATAAAATTTAAACATCCTAACCTAGAAAAAAACGCGAAAAATACACCTTGCACTCTCTCATTCCAATTCTCTTTCTCCGCCTAAAGGGTATCCCGTCACGTCTCCCTTAAAGAAGCGCAAAAGCCAAGTATCGCCGCCAACGCCGCAGCCACCAGTTCCCCGAGATTAGAGGCTCGCGTGG